TTTATATATATATATATATATATATATATATATATATATACACATACTTTCTGATGAACATAAATTTTTAATTTTTAACATACCCACTTCATTGCAATATACATAATTCACACACCATAAATTTGTTCATTTAAAGAGTGCAACTCAATGATTTTTGGTGTTTTCAGAGAGTTGTGCAATCATCATCATAATCAGCTTCAGAACAGTTTATCACCCCCGGAATAAACTCTGTATACCCATTAGTAGTTGTGTCTCATTTTCCCTCACCCCCAACTCCAGCCCTAGGCAACCACTAATCTATTCTCTGTGTCTACAGATTTGCCTCCTCTGGAGATTTCATATAAATGGAATCATACAATGTGTAGCCTTTTGTGACTGGCTTCTTTCATTACCATAATAATTTCAAGATTTATCCATGTTATAGCATTCCTTTTTATTGACAATTAATATTTGGTGTTCATTCATATGGATACACTATGCTTAATTTATCCATTCATCAGCCAATGGGCATTGGTTGTTTCCACTTTGGGGAATTTATGAATAATGCTATGTAGATACAAGGATTTTTAAACATATGTTTTTATTTTCCTTGCATTTATACCTAGGAGTGAAAATGCTGTCACATGCTAACTCTGTTTAACCGTTTGAGGAACTGCCTAAATGTTTATCAGAGTAGCTGCACCTTTTGACATTCCCTCCAGCAGTATGGAGGGTTCCGATTTCTTCCTGTCCTTGCCAATACTTATTATTATTGATTTGTTTATTACAGTCCTTCTAGTGGGTGTAAAGCGGTCTCTCATTGTGGTTCGATTTGCATTTCTCTGCTGGTTAATGACATCGAGCATCTTTTCATGTGCCTACTAGCCATTTTAATTTTAAGAGAGTCAAAATTGTCTAATTTTTATGGTGTCATTTATCTTTAATATAAAATAAGTATATTTAAAGGCAAAGCCTGTGTTTGCATAAAAATTTTAAAGTTTATTTTATCTTTTAAAAATGAATGATCCATGTCTTGAGCTGTTGGCTCAATTGGTTGGAACATTGTCCTGTACAGCAAAAGGTGGTGGGCTCTGTTCGCAGTCAGGGCACATACCTAGGTTGTAGGTTCCATCCCCGGTTGGGCTGCGTACAGAAGACAATGGATTGATGTTTTTCTCTCTCTTCCTCTCTTTCTCTCAAATTAATAAAAAAAATCCTCAGGTGAGAATTGAAAAAAATGTTTTTAAAGTGTGATGCATTAATAATTTCAAAGAATCAAACACAGGTATATATAGGATAGGATAAAAGTAGGTTTACAGTTGTGAGTACACAAGACATTGTTTTTTTATCATTTTTATTAATTATTGTATTATTTTCTGTACAAATAACTATAAATCTTCTTTTGCCCCACACATATTACAGTGTCATATAATTTGCCAGCTTCAAGAAAATAATTTTCAAATATGAAGTTGGAATACAAAATAGTATAAACTTGTATTTTCTAATTATTTTTTAAAAAATTTTATTCTAATTATTATGTGATTATGTTCCAATTTTATAACAATGATTTAACTTGATAAATAGACATGACTTTTATTTAAACTTTTTCTTTTCTGAAGTTTAAGTTTAAATAGGTGTATGTGGCTCTGACATTGTGTCCCTAGCAATTCACCCTAGTTTTAGTGTCCTAAATATCCTAACTTTTCTTTTCAAATACAGTTTACTGATCCAAAATGCTATTTCACACTAACTCATTGTGTTTGTTTAATATAATAATACATTTTAATATTTTAGACTCAAGTGTTAGACACTGAGCTAAGTTCATTCAGGAGTGTTACCACTTTTTTTTCACAATGACCATCTAAAGTAAGAATTATCTATGGTGCACTTTTATAGATGATCCTCTGACTCCAAGGCACTTATTGCTAAAGATCGTCAGTTAAAAGTGAAAGGAAATTTAGTCCAAGTAATTCTGTCCATGGATAATACAATTAAAATTTATGTGAAAAAATGTTTACTTTTACCTTTTTTTTCCTGCCTGAGTAACACACACACATATACACATGTATTTTCTTGACTCTCATCAGGTAGGCTTGGTTTCACTTTTTATCACCTACTCAGTATTATAAAAAAAAATGTTTTACATAATCATAATCAGCCAATAAAGCTGAGAGAATCATGGTATGTAAGGTATCTGTTCTGAAAATAACACAGCTCTTACCTGACTGATATGACGACAGCGTCGAGTCTGTCTGCTGTCCATCTTGACAGTAGGTCTTGCTGTTTTGAAGCTGAAATAAAAGGAATAAAAAGCAGGATATTGGTGAGAATTGACAAATGAAGCGAAGGACGTTTCCTTCACAAAAAGTCCTATTGTGCTTGTTTTATATTCTGGCGGTTCTCCAGCAGCTCAACATTGAAACACTAGGGGGATGCATTTGATGTTAGACTTAGTCATAAGAAACTTCCCAACCACAACTCAGTAGAACTTGTGTTAATCAGTGAACTCCTAACTGCTCTTTGTCTCTTTTATCTTTCGTTCTGCCTGTTTGGTGATTGGCTCTTCTAAGCCATTTTCATTTTCTAGAAGACTAACTACAACTCATTAACAGATTTTAGGGTATTTAAAAACAAACAAACAACAACAATAACAAAACAACAACAACAAGTCACTGATTTAACCAATGAGCTGTCAGATGTTTGAGGCAAAGGAGATATAAGCAGAATTGTGGTAACAGAGAAGGACCATCTAAATCTGCATGAGACAATAGAAAACATCTGAAATTGTGTGGGATAGAACCACATTCCCTTAAATCAGGAAGCTGCAACTCCCTCATTTCCTTGCATCAGCACAGCTACCCTAAAAAGGTATCTAGCTTAGCCCTGACTTTGTCTCTTTTTGTCTTGTCTAGGAGGAAGCCCCGATGCTCTCCTTACCCATCTCTGGTCCTCCTTCCTATAGCCAGTTCTTTTACCAGTGCTATGAACCTTCTTCCTTCCTTTTTCCTTTGGTGTATTCCTCCATCGGTCAACACTTTCAGCCCATCTGTTTCTCTAACATATTTATATTAATTACCTTCATTTCCTTTAGTTCTATAAATAAACAGAACTTTTCTCGGATAAAAAGAGAAGTTGAAATGAAATGCTCTTACTTAACTCTCCTTTCAATCTATCATTCACTTGCATATCCCTTTCACAACTAAGTCCTATTAAAGCCAGCAGTCATCCTTACCATTTCCTCACCTCTCACTTTTTGGTATCTGCACTGCTTGGTACTGTTCAGCTAATCTCTTTCCCTTGAAGCTTTCACCTTTGTTTTTTGTTTTGTCTGTTTGTTGGTTTTGGGGGGATTTTTGATTTTTTTTACCTCTTTGAAAACTTCCAGTGCTTTGCTGGTTGCTTACTTTTTCACCCAATACTGTGTCTCTCTTACCCAGGGGGCTGTCCTCACCCATTTAATTATTCTGTCAGAAGCAGGATAATCATCTTAGATTCTCTCTCAACTACCCACATCAACTGAAAATTTTGCTTAATTTCTAGACTGTAACATTTCTTGTTTAGATTAATTTATTCTACCTCTCTGGAGTTGAGTTCCTAAATTAGACTCCCATCCAATCTCCACTCCCTTAGTTGACCTATGTCTCATTCATCGGAAGTCATCAGCTAAATATCAAGCAATCTTAGACTCAGGGCAGTTAGGTGACTTTCTCAAAGTCACACTTTGGGACCCTTAGCCCAGTACTCCACTTCTAAATATATTTCCCTGTCTACTATAATTCTGTGTGTTGAGAAATTTGCAACCTAATCACTCAATCTTGATTACCTTGGTCTATTATTTTCTACACTTACCACTTTATAGCACACTGCATGGTTTATATGTTTATCAGCTGATTAGACATTGCTTCTATTAGAAGGTAAGCTCCTAGAGTATTGCCAGGAGTGTAGTATATATATATGAATAAATGAGTTAACACATTAGATAGTCTTCTAATGGCAATGGGGAAAAATAGCAAAGTATGCTCTCTTAGAGTATTGACCATAAATATGAAAACATTTGTCATCTCAGTTCCAATTGATGAGAAAAGCATATGTGGAAGAGAGTAATTTAAAGCTTCAAGGAAGAGTAAAACTTTGCCAGGAAAATAAAACAAGAGAAGACAAAAGAGACTGCAGTGTCCAAACAGAAGTGCATTGTATACCTACTAAAGGCATTATTTTCTAATAAAAGTTTTACACACTATACAGTGAGAAGAACTTTTCAAAACATTCACTTACCAGCACTTCCGTGACACCAGCCACCACCATGGATATAAAAGACACCTCTTCTCAGTGCCTCTGACTTCCTCTTTGGCACATATACACGGACAGGGATGTGGTTGAAAGTTGTCTCAGTCACAGTGATATTTTCATCTGAGGTTGGTGGAACCTCACTAGGACCCAAAAAAATTGTCAAGGAATCCACAAAATTATTAAGTCCCAGCAGCTCGACAAATTCAGCCTAAAAATGAATTTCACACACATCTTAGAATTTGAATTTCAAATGTCAGAGATCTCTGGACATATAAGCACACTGGGAGCTAAAAAAAATAATAATACTTTTACTCCCTCCTTCTAAAGTTCTTCTAGGCAGAACATATCCTTGCTGGGAAACTTTCCCCTCAGTATCTAGGATGGTTGGTTCCCTTTTATAATCTGGTCTCTGAGCACGTTTCCTCTCCATAGAGGCTTTTCTGACCATACATACAACAGCCCTCCCTGCCGTCTGCCCAGATTGCTTTCTTTTCCTCCTGCTTATGACCTTCAAGCCACTTTTTATGATCTGAAATCATCCATTTAAATCTAATTCGTTCTTTTTCTCCACCACTAGAATGTTAGTGCTGAGGGCATAGACTCTTTCTTTGCCTAATAAGATTTGATAGAGTTCAGTTGTTGAATAAACGAGAAATAAAAGATCCATCTGGGAGTTACAACGGCCATCTGCTTTATGTTCTAGAAAGAGATTAAAAAAATAAAATCAAAGAAGAAATAGGGAAACATGCCCAGGAAGCCAGGGAGAGTTACATCTTACCTATTTTTTTGACCGGCCAGTACCAGAGCCTTAAGCAGGAAGGCAGTTGCCCGGACACTCCAGGGTCTCCCCCTCTTTCATATCTGTACTTCATGCCTCTCATAATTAACCCTGGGCACCTGCCAATCGGCAGGCTTGCAGAGTAATTCCTTGAGAACTTACTTCTATGTCCTTAGTCTATACCCTGAATCTGAAAATGATTTCATGAATGTCTGTAACACAATGCTGCAGTCAGATAGCTCTGATTTGCTGATGAATTATATGCTAAACAACATCTAAGATAGCAAACAACATCCAATTTCAAACATCACTCTCATAACATTAATACGACCTAAACAAGGCATTTTTAGTAAAAGCTACTCAAATGCCTCCTCGCTTATTTTTTTAAAATATTTTTAAACATGATTCTAATATAGAAACTAGAAATTGACCAAACAAGGCAGCAATGTTTCTAAATAGTAAAGAGACAAAGGATGCAGCATTTGTTTTTATAAGATGAATAAATCAACCAATAAATCAATGAAAAAACCAAAGGAGCAAAATCCTAGAAGATTTTCTTCTCTAGATCAAATGGTTGCATATGCACATGTGAGTTCATAAAAAGTCCAAACTTACCAAATGTATTATCGTTTTTATATAAGCGTTCAACTGTATTATTTTCCATGGCTCCTCAAAATCCTCTGGCAGAGGTAAATAAACATAATATGCTAAAAAGACCCCCACAATCAGAAAGTACAGGGGTTTTCTTCCCATAATGTAGTTCCTACGCTTCTCTGTCCTCAGAAACAGAAACTAAACTAACCTCCTATGTCTGCACAGTGAACTTTAGCCAGTGTGCTTCAGCTCTATCTAGACCTCTACCCAGTTATGGAACGTAGAGTTGCTCACTTAGTTTTAGGGCTGGGATGATAAGGATTCATTTCACTGCCTATCCAGAAATAGTCATGGGAGTACAAGTTCAAGGTTAATAAACAATGGGAAACTACAGCACATTCTGTCTTATTTGCATTCCAAACACCTAACTCAATGATGTTACTACTTGCACCCTTCTGGATTATGCCTTTTTGAACATGTTATAATTTCTTGTTTGCTCCACTCTCTGGGATGATTTTTTCTTCTTCCCTGAAATGAATCAAATCTGTTTCACTTGTCATTGAACCTCCCTTTTTGGCCGCCAAGGAACATGTTCTCACCATTCAAGGGCTGCTTGAGGTCTTTTCTTTAAGGAACACTCCAGCAGTCTTGGTTTTTTTTTCATGGAAGGAAACTGATCAGTAGGAAAAAATAATAATTAAAGCCAACTTTAATGATATTATTTGGCTTTCCTATTAAATTCTTCTCACAAGCATTGGTTAACTGACACCATCTATATATTAAAAATAAGGAAACTGCAGCACAGAAAGATGAACTAACTCACCAAAGGCACACATTTATCTGGTTGTACCATAGTAGTTTCTTATTATTAATGCAGAATCCATTTCTTTTTTAAAAAAATGATTGACTTGAATACAATGATTATCTATGTAGAAAATTATAAATCATACACCAAGAGGTATTAGAACACATTCTGTTAAAATATTTTTTCTAATTATGACAATATCTGAATCTGGATGTTCCAGTTACCTGGTTCTCATTTCTCTATTTGTCTATGTACCTGGCTATCTTCAACTTACTATTGATTGTCCAAATAAAAATAAATATTTTTAGGAAAGGTTTGAAACTTAGGTTCATGTTGCCTTCTTCTAGTGATTACCTATATTTGCTGCTGGTGAGCATGCCTACACATATTATGTTATGATATATGACATTCTTGAAAGTATATTCTGAATATGCTCAGGATACATGCAATATGCAGACTTCCTAATTATGGTTATTGCTAACATTATGGATGTTTCCTCATTCAAAAGGTCAGTAGAGTATAGAGGAAATGATATCAGCATTTTAATTTTAAAATAAGTATTAAACTATGAAATTATTCTTCTTAATATTTTCTAAATAAGTAAAAAATTATCAATCATTATGTTTATAAGTTAAAGGTATATTAGCTATTATTAAATTTAAGATGAAAGAAAACATAACAAATGAAAATACTGAACATTTTACCTGCTGAGTCACTGCTGCAGCTAAATTCCCTCTAGCACTGTCTCCAGAAATACCTACTCTCCCAGGATCTACACCATAGCTTTCAGGAACTTTGGGGTGTAACAACCATGTAATGCACTGTATACAGCTTCAAAGTAAATTGGAAAATGATAACTTGGGGGCTAGTCTGTATTTGTAGGTTAACCCCCCCAATATTTCCTTAATCATTAGTTGTTACTCATGTACCAAAACAAGGCACACACTCCTAATATAGAATCAAAAGTAAAATTTTGTTTTTACCAATATATTTGAATGTTTGCTATTAAATGAAAGTTATGTTTTTCTTTTTTAAAAAAGATTTTTATTGTTTTTTTTGTTTGTTTGTTTTTAGAGAGAGACGAAGGGAGAGGAAGAGAGAAACAATGATGTGAGAGTGACACATTAATCTGCTGCCTCTTGTATGCCCCCTACCAAGGATTGAGCTGTTACTGGAATGAATGAATCATTTTAGAAATATAACCTGAATGCCATCACAGTCGTTTTTCATTGGTCTGCTTTGAGATCATTCAGAGATCTAATAATAAAGTCAGCAAAATTTGATAAGAAGCCAAAGTCATGTAGAACTTGAAAAAAAAGAACAAACTAGCATTCTAGAAAACTTGCCTCTTTTGGTTAATAAATATTTTTACTTACCAAATATGCCATTTTTATAACAGAATTAAACAACATTACTTTCCATTGTTCCTCAACATTATCTGGAAGTGGTATACAAATATAACATGCTATATAACTCCCAGTATCAGAAAAGTAAAAGGATTTTCCCCACATATTATAACTATTGTTTCTTCAGTAAGACAGTATTACACTTTACTTCAATGCTGCAACTAATAAACATTTGGCAAGCCCCATCCCAAACCAGAGTTTCTTCAGAAGCACCCCAGATTTGCATGTGGCGAGTGTTGACAGGTAGTGTTGCTGGTAAAAACTCAAGTTCCAGTGTGCACTTTGTAACAAAAAACACTCTCCTCTGGCAGGTTCTGTTAAATCTGCCAGCATCATTGTATCTTCAGATAGCCACTGGACAAATATTTGTGGAACACCAACTTGGAGGAGAGTATATTAAATCTCAGAGTCTGGAAGACATAGAAGCACATTTCCTTTAGAAGAGAGGAAAGCAAAGGGATTCAGACATATGTTTTGAAATATTTTTAATGATATGCCTTTATTTTCTTATATCTTTAATAAAAGCCAAATAATTAATATGCAAATTGAATATCTTAAGTGCTATGTAGTGATTGGAGTAGTTTTTGGAGGAAATAATGGAAAACTTTGTTGCAAAGGTAACTTTGAGTCAAGTCTTAGAAATATCCATTGTTTGGTAGACCACAGAAAGATAAAGGAGCCTTAAAATAAAAGGCATTGAAGTGAACTTTGTAAGGCCAAATTCTAAAGTGCATTCCTCAGCTTAATATGTGACTTCTTGCTCTTTCAAAATCTATCTTGGTTAATATGTGTATAACCTCTGTTCACACAATGTTGCGCAACTCCATTGAATCACATCAGAAATGAAAACGTTTCAGGTGTGTCCTTAAGGTAATGTTGTTGACTTAATGTAGGATTATTTATTTATTTGTTTGGTCACTGTTCTACTCCCTCTAGGAAAACATGAAAAAGAATTAGGATATCCACCTTTTTCTTTGTTGTCAAGGGAATTCCTGCATGGAGAGTAGGTGATATAAAAGAAAAAGTTTCACCTTATAACAGTACTTGCCCCAAGAAAATCAAAGCTTACTGTTTTGTTTCACTAGTACTCTCCCAACATCGATGCTTTTCAAGAACCATGAGCTTTAAATAATGTTGCCCTGAATCCAACTGAAGATTCTTCCATGACTAATGATCTATGGAACTTGTTTTAACCTATTGTGTACAGATATATGGACTCATCTGCACTACATGGAGAGATGGTTTTCAGTTCTTAATTACCACAGCCAATTTGGACCATACCTTTTCACTTTTTAATACTTAAAAATGTCTTCTTTTCCTCCTCAGGAAATGACTCAGTGAAGGTCTTGTTTACCTGGCAATTAGCTCAGCATTAGCTAGATGATGATAGATAGATGATAGATAGATATAAATATAGATAAATAAAGATAAATACAATATATAGCCTTTGTTTTATTATTTGACTGTAGGGAGAAGACATTAGGCAGAAATAGATGGCAGCTTAAGGCCCAGGGGAAAGTGTTTGAAGATCAGGCATCACATCTCTTTCTATTCTTCCTCTCATTTATTTTTGCCTTGTTCAACAGTTTTTAAATATATATATATTTAATAATTTAAAGAACATTAAGGATTAGTAATAAGTCACAGTAATAAATATAATAGAAATTATAAGTTAAATATCTTACAATTTTATTTGTCAATTATATTTCAATAAAGCTGAAAAAAAGATTATTTTACTAACATTTATAATTTAGATGTTGCTTCTTTCCACAGTGTAGAAGGTTTTTGTTGCTGTTGCTGCTGGTTTTTGCTCCCTTATGGCAGCTGCAGTGTGTTCTCACCAGTGCCCAAAGGAAGCCCTTCTGGTGCCATCCTCTCCTGCTTATTAAGGTTTCATTTTATAAAAGAAACAGAAGATAAAGGTCTTGATGTACTTCAGTCACTCTTCTTCGGCAGCTGCTATTCTCCTCCCCAGATCACTCCATTAGAGACTCTCCACAGTCTTGTATATCTGTGTGTGTTTTCAAAACATTACAATTCTGAGCAGGTTGCCTTTTTGATGAGTTTCACTGTCTGAGCTGGAAGCCCTACTGAATTCTATCTAACCAACCTCTATGTTTCATTTACATAATCCCCAGAAGGAAGAAAGGAATTCAAAAGCCAGTTCAATTCCAATGTAATCCAAAGTTTGCCCTGTGCTAGAAACCGAGAAGCGGGAGTTCAGAGTACGACCCATGTGTAAAAGGCTAAATCAGCCCTCTGCTCAGTCACAGCCTACGTGATAAAGGCGCTTATTGTTTAAAAAATAGAATGAGTCTGTATTATGCTTATTATTTAAAAGATGTTGTAACTGAAACTTAACTGATCACTAGCTGTATGATCAAAGGGAAATTTCTTAAAACTATTCTTGCTGCAATAATTTCATTTATAATAAAGGCATGTTAATTCATGCCTAATAGGGTCATTTGAATTAAACTACTAATGAATATAAAGAACTAAGCATAGCTCTTGGCATCCAGGAAGTTCTCAATAAGTGGTAATGTTGTAACTGCTATTATTATCAATGCACACATTATTATTATTAACATTACAGTGAGAAATAAGCAAAACCTAAAGCTATACCCAGATAGATCTGAATTAATCCATTCCCCACTTAAAAAATATTTACTTCTTGGTGTTGCCTAATCTGCTGGATTGAAATATGAAAAGCAGCTGAGGAGATTAAACACAGCAACGGACTGAATGGAAGCTACGCTGACACTCTCCTGGGACCAAACTGGAATTACAACTAAAATATAAAAAAAGCAGCCTGAAAATCAACTGAAGATGAACTGAAGAGCACCCTCATAACCACGGAGGAAAAGTGGAGAACACACAGAGGATGGTAGGAAGTGTGGAGGCATAGAGGGCTGGCTGGGCTCCCACAGGCAGCAGCTGAAGGTCCAGAG